CCCAACAAACAAAATTTACCAAACACAAGCCACAATGTCAAATACCTTGGTGAAGTCAACAAGCAGTGAGTACATTAGATGGGGTCGTTCTCTACACATCTCCTGCATGCGACGAACCGGAAACACCATATCTATAGTGCTGCGATCCGAACGGAATCCACGTTCGGTTCAACGACCTAAGTGACGAGGAGCTTGAGCAGGATACGGGCGATCACCTTGCCCACACAAAGCAGCAACTTGATACCACAATAAGTCGTGCAACATTGCTTGTTACCTTTGGCTTTATACAGTGGTAGCAGTGGTAGCGACTGGTGCAGCGCATTCACTAACGCCGGTTCGTTGTTTTTCAATACTTCAAGCAGGATTCTGTCGAAGCCGGCACACTTGCTGTTTCGTAGCTGAGCAAGTGCTGTCTGCATCTCATCCATTGTCGGTGGGTCGACAAGACACGTTTTCATTACCTGTTGTTGCAGACCGTGCAACGCAGTCCAGTCAATCTCTGAACCGTTGTTTAAGAGACAGTCCAAGTGATGGCGCCAGATCTGCATTATGTCTGCAACCTGTGTGCAGGTAGCCCCTGAACTAACGTCAAGCAACGTCCACAAACGGGCCCAAACTCAACCCATACACCATCTTCAAGAGGGCGAAGAATTCCTTGTGTTGGAAAGGTTCGAAGTAACATTCCATCCGTTTCGCCTTCTCAGCCATAATGCATTTATAATGCGACAAAGCTCTCGAATCAGTCAACAACAAATTTTGCGGAACTGACTCATCTTCCCCAAGTCAGTGGGGTCCGTCACATGTGCAGCAAATGCTGTACTCTTCTCAGTCACCAATGTGCCAATCGTCTCATTGTTCTCATCAAACCAATCAGGCCGCTTACAGTTTGCGGGCCTAATGGTGTCCTCCGCAGCGACTGCCACCTGGTCGCGAATGTGGTGCAACAGGTCGCCGATTATGGCTATGCAGTCTGTATCACACTGGCGTACAGCCATCGCCTTCTCCAGCTCAATACGTTTCGCCACAGTACCGAGGGAGTTTGCAATTGTCACTGGTGTGAAGCAAGGTTGTGTCTTAGCTCCTGCTCTGTTTGATATTTAGTTTCATGCAAGTATTTCTTGTGCTTTTGACGCCGCTTGTGCTTACGGTGTTCGCGTGGAGCACCGTATTGTTGGTTGGTTGCGGAACATCTGTCGTTTCGGTACGAGATCTCTAGGCTGTGAGATAACTATCCGAATGTTGCTGTTTGCTGACGACTGTGCGTGGTTTGCACACAGCGCGGATGATTTGCAGCACATGACTAGTGCTCTGGCTTCGACAGGGGCCAAATTCGGGCTGACCATCAACACAAGCAAAACTGTCTGTCTCTTGCAGCCTTCACAGGAGTTGCAATCTTCACAATTGCCAAAAATCAACATTGATGATGTCGACTGACCAGCAGATACACAGTGAGCTCCGTATCCGCGTATCGAAGGCACCGGCGATATTTCTGAAGCTAGAGTACCGCGTGTGGAAGAACCATCAGATTACAACAACAATGTAGCTTAGCTCATCCGTGGCAACGACATACTTGATCTAGTTTTAATTGTGGTATACCAATTACTAACATGACTGTACTCAATAACTCTGCGGGAATTGATCACTGAGTGGCGCAGTTCAACCGTAAAATACTGATGATGAAATCAGAATATGCGTTCCGTTCCATAGACAGAAGTTTGTTTCCTCTCAATAGTAGCACAATAAGTTGGAATGGTTTCTTTCTGTCAGTATGTACGAAGCAGGCGCAGACCTGTTCCATACTAACATGAGCTACTACATCGAAGTTTATGCATCATTACGACACAAGCACTTCCATAGTAAACACCGTAGTCCTCACTCATAAACTCAAGGCTTAAGCCTCATCAGGTTCTGGGTAAGCTCCAACGCAGATCTGATTTCTCTCCACTTTTACAGCAATCTGTGCTTCTGAAGAGAATTAGGGCCCGGAATGCGTGACAGCGTTCGACTGAAGACCAAAGGCCCCGTATGGCATGAACAAATTCAACGGTTTATCATGCATCGCACGTGCTCGTGGGTCTGACCGAAACACTCATCTAAACTAGATAGCTGTGCAGGACGGATCACACACTGACGAATCTGCAGTTATGTGTAACTTATTAAGCGCGTAGTTTACTGAATCTTTAGTACATGAGCTTGCACTCGTGCCAACGATGCCTACGTTGCCCAGCAATGCACGCTTGCGGTTAAATTTGTCCTTCCACCGTGGACCTGATGGGATACCACCAGCGTCGATTAAACAGGCTGGTAATGTTTTCCATTTGCTGCTACGCAACTTGTTTATTCTACCTATAAAAAATGTGTTCTCTCAGTCTGGAGATTTCCCCGACTTGGTTGATTATGTTGTAGAAAATACAAAATACAAATCTCGTCATATTGTGCGCATAAAGGTTGTTCGTAGATTGCTGAAATTTAGGTTGAATCTGTTTTTTGACCCAACACAGATTAATACACACACGGCGGTACGTTTTGATTCAACATGCCGCTCAGTCGCACGGTCCCTCACATCCTTTCCTAACTAGCTCTGCCTCGTCCGGTGTCCCACTTTTAAGCTGTACACGGGACTAGTGTACATCTTAACAATTCACCTTCGTCCAGTCACTTCGTGTCTTTTCTTCAATCACTGGGAACAGTATTCACCGCTAGAGTATCGAAGAGTTGAAGTCTGTTAGCGTGAGCCGGCCACTCTTGCTACAGTGGTGTATCAACACAATTGAACGCGTCAGTTTTTATACCTTGACACAAAAGTGGACCAGATCATGAAGTAACTAACTACCGACCGATAAACGGTTATAGCGGTGGTAAGAATACTCCACCACTCCCCGTTGTTTTGTGAGTTTTGCCCCACTCACCATAAACCATGCGCGCATCACATCAAGAATAATGGAAGGGATAGTTAAGGACGCGATGATTAGTTTCCTCCTCTGGGAGTATCTCATCATAGATTTCTACAGGCCAGGTACTGTATGACATTTCAGCTAGACTTTCTTAACCACACAACAATAGCTGTTGACACTGGTAAGGTATTTGCAGGCATATGTGTCGATCCGCTTAAAAGTATGCGACTGAGTTCCACACGTTAGGTTGCCCACCAAGTTACAATTCGTCGGTATCGAAGAATCACTGCTCACATGCCTTTCATAATACCTGTCAAGTAGGAAGATAGTGGAACAAACGGACAAGCATTTTTCGCTCTCTAAAGCAGTCAATATTGAAGTAATGCAAAAGTGTGTCCTTGGTCCCTTACTATTACCTTTTTACCTTGTTGATAGCGTCAGCAGTTTTAAGAATGGCACCGCTTGCTTGTTTGCAGACGACGTAAAAGTCGATTATTCTTACACAGATACGGATATACGTGGGGGGGGGGTTAAGGTAAACTCACGACGACCTTTGCTCTCTTGAAATTTGGTGCTACATGTGGCAAAAATCGTTTGTTGCAGATACGTGTTATGTTCTATCGTATGAGTGTCGCATTGCACCAAACAGCCTGACGTTGCACGGTGTGCACATCACCCAATGCACACCGGTTCGTGACCGGAGGCTGCCATACTCGCACACGTCCAACGTTTCAAAACAATGCGATTTCCAAATCTAAAGCGTGAGAAAGACTGCTGAATTTATATGCCGTTCCTTGTTAATCTCTGAGTCCTGGCTCCTGTTATACAAAGCACACATACTGCTAAACAATTTAGATTACGCTCTGGTGCACACAGGCATGCGGAAGTCGGGCAGAAGGGCTGCTGAGCGAATTCAACTCCGATTTATCAAACGAATAGTTATATACTCCACAAAACTGACTCGATGATTGAACTACAACCTATTTAGGTGGGAAGAATAATGGCGTTTAACGTACTTTTTGATCAGATTCATGCAAATCAACAATGATATAACGCATGCCAACTCAGCAGGCTAGAGAGATTGCTTTCCAAACATATGTTGGATGACACCATCTGTGAAACTCAATTGCATATCTATTCGTCTGTCCGTATGCGAGGACAGTCTGTCGCACCGTCGAGAAACAAAACTATTTATTGGCTGATGGGCCTGCTACCACACTTGACTACTTTAGCTCAATGTGGGCCCTTAGAGACCGAGAAACTATCCTGCATACTAAATTCTTGTTGCGTAGCAGCCGGCTGGTAGCTATCCGGAACGACGCCCATCCGTTGGTGGTAGCTCAGCTGACATGCATCTGTTGCCTGTTTTTCTCTGATGTCTTGAGACACTGTGCCTGATGTGTTTTCCACCTCTAGCTAATGGGTATAAAGATGGTATGATAAAGCGACGAAGTCATCTACTACAGGAGCGGACTATGAATGCAGCATATACTAACAAATGGGAGCCGTAGAGTTTGAGACAAGAACAACGAAGCAACAGTGTCGCCGCTTTGGCCAATCCAAATTAATTTATACATCGGTCGGTGGCCGATTGGTATGAGACGTCCCACGTTATTGGTGATGCTCCGACCAACCGTTCATGCAACAGCCTGCCAAATGTTTCACTCGCTGTGTATTTATTGAGGAGCTCTCAATTACTCTGAAGGCCCTAGTAACCATGGATGGCAGAAGTTGTAACCTACGGGCGCTTGCTACATTTGTCGCATCCTCAAGTTTGGAAAAATTGTCACTCTCATGGATGCAGACTGTGCGCTCAACAAAGTAGTGTGCCGATCGCTCAATGGTTAAGGTTTTCCAAGTAACCACTTGAATTCTCTGAGATGCATCCAAACAGAAGCATGAAGAAAACTTAGTTTCGGAAATCTCTTCGGTATCACTCGTTTATGACAAAAATGGAATCTGTCCTATTATCAGCCGACTAGATGGGGCGTCTTAGTGTTTACGAGAATGATGCTTCCATTTAGTAAAGTTAGATGCACTGGTCAGTCTGCAGTTGGTTAATCAACAATATTGCCTACACACAAGTGGATTTCGAGTCAGACTCACCTGCAAATTCCCCGTTTTTGCGGGGCGATTGGTGGGGGAGCCTGAAATGAAAGTTTAAACCGTGGTAACATCAGACCATTGAGCACATACCACAGCACACTTAAGACTGTAAGATAGTCACAAACTCACAATCGTAGTATCATAAAGATTTGGTAATGTGTTTACGGCTCGCAACCACTTGGTGGACTTGTCTTTCGGTACACCGTCAATTTTCAATTATGCCACCACTTAGCCTTATCTCCTTGCTCTTGGAAACTCATGGCCTCCCCACAACGTCACAGCCGTCTAAACGGGCTCTTTCCGACAGCATGGGAGGCACATACCACATATAAAAGTAATTAGGATTCGTGTCACCCTCATGTGAAAAACAGAAACTTCGACTTGCATTTAATGGGGTCTGAATTATAGTGTGAATACGGATTGGTCTTATTCTACTGATAGTGCGATTCGCGAGAAATTCACTCCCCCCCCCCCCTAAAAATACCTCCACAGCATCCGTGAGGATGATCGACTGCAAACCATGATTTAGTCAGCCGAGCATTTGTGTGGTTAGGCAGTAGCGCGTGGTGAATGTTCACTACGCATTTGAGAGTGCTGATCTGTGGAGAATTTTATGTCGAAGGAGAAATATTGTATGAATTCGACTGGAAACCTGCATTATCAGCAGCCTTAGTACTCAGCAGGTTTGCACCGTTTGGGTAGGTAATATTTACAGGCTGGTAAGAGTACTTACTTACGTGTGAGTAGGTGGGATTTCGTGAACGTTTTGAAGGGTTCTTAGGCATCTGCTTGTGTTTTTCTTCGCAAAATCGGATATGTCGCTCAGCCGCTTTCTCGTTAAATCTTCGTAGGCAGAACTTGCACTGTATAAGGTCTAAGTTGGAATAAAAGAGGAAGGAACACCCCGCAATCACATGAATATGAGTTCCAGGGGATAGCCTACAGTGCTAGCGAAAATGAAAGAGGTTGAAATATGCCAAGCAATAGTTAGCAAATAACCCTCAGCTTCCTAATCAAACGTTAGCCAGCCACGAACAAATAGATATTTCGTCGTAATATGTTAAACTAACCGTCGTAAAAAGAAAAGAAAATAAGCCTATCAAAGAAAAACAAGTATTATTACTCTTTGTTCCTTAGTATGCAAATAAAATAAGGGAGAAGGGTAAAAAACAATACAAGTGCCATTGAGGCCGGCTCTCCGCCGTGTCAAAGGTGTATCCAACTAAACGTTTCTGTCTTCTTTCAGAACACAATATATTACGGCGGCTTTATGTTCTTCCACACAGAAGTAGCCTTTCCACTCTAGGCAAGACCAACTGATCAGAATGAAACTACAGTAGGAGGTTTGCTAAAACGCCTATGAACGAAAGTTGAATTAGGCGAATCTGTGTTAACCACATCTGGTCACTTTAGGCCATTAAACTATGATGAGTATTCGACTTGATTGGACTGCATTCTGGCAGTTGTACTTGTGGCATTCGTTGTGAATTGGCATTCCAGTATGTTCTGCTTGTTTGTTTTTTCTTCGTTGGTCACATGACTGGGTCAATCCCTAGAAGTGATGGAATGAAGCTTCAAATCCGAATGTCTACACACACAGGACGAATAGGCAAACTCCTGGTGCATATATAAAAGGTGTGCTGAACTTAAACAAAGGCAGTACACTCTGCTCTGTTGAGTCCACACCCAGTGGCATAAGCCGCCAATTCCGGTGAATTCGATCACCATGCGCGGGCAGAAGCGACGGGTCAGTACTACCGCATAGTCAGTCAGTCAGTCCATGCCAGCCTTGGGATAGAGCTCGTTTGGGGTTGCTACGCGCGACCGCTGTGTTTGCTGCACTCTTGAATTCCACTAGCTGGTGACACCAGTAGGTATCGTTTCTTACAGCTTGACCAATAGGAAACCCTTAATTGTACAAATTAAGGCTTCCGTGCAACTCGATATGTCTTCCGGAACCGTCAGGTGGTTTCCTGCCAAATAAAACAAGGGTATACTACGGATAAAAATACCAAGGCTTAATATGTTCCGTGAGACGGTTTATACGCATTACATAAGTTAAAAAATCACACCAAAGTGTATGCGTATATGGGGACTCACCATACTATCCTTGCTAACTCATGTACGAGGGTCGTATGAAAAGTTTGAGCCTAGCGCAGAACCCAGCTAGGCAATCAAACCAAATAAGATTTCTTATAATTCACAACTTCCTTATTCATTTTATGCAAATCCACAATGCTAGCTCTTTTACTTGCATTGCAGAAGATTCGTGAAGTAAACGAGTCTGCAATTTGGTGAAAGTGGTGAAACTGCAGCGTCGCGCAGTGCTGAAATCTTGCCATCTCAAAGGAATGTCACCCTCTGAAATCAACCAAGATATGCTCAATACATTGCCTTATAACACCCCTTCATATACCACTGTTAAACACTGGGTGCATGTTATAACTCCCGTAGTAGGAAGACAGAATTGACACTGAAACCGTTTACTTGCATAACCGAAGTTACAACCAACTGTCAAGGAAAGCCGTCAACTACACACTTGGTCGAAACCAATCGATGCTCACGTGCCATGTGGTTGGCTTAAAGTTCCCAGCTAACATGCAAACACACTCCGTTGGTAATCGATCGAATTTCACGTGCTGTCTGTGTGGCTGACATTTGTGATCTCTCTAACTGTGCAATAGTTTAAGCACGACAAGGAAAGTATTGAAGATGAGCCCAGGTCAGGGAGACCGACAACCGCCACCACCAAATAAAATCTTGGCCTACTAATGTATATGATTATGCAACCACGCCAATTTAACAAATCGGTTGATAGCTGTGAGGTTTGGCATATCCCAGGAGTGAGCGGATCATATTCTGACGAAGGAGCTAGGCTGTTTAAAAGTTCCTGCTAGATGGGTGTTAGGTTTTCTGAATACTGAGCAGAAAGGAAATCGACATGTGACTTTAAAGAACAATTTGGCATTAGTTGAAATAGATGCAATGATGATTTTCTTACAAGATTCATCACTATGGAAAAAAGCAATCCAAACCTGAAAATAGCTTTAGCTGGCAAACGTTTTCTCAACAGCAGTGACGCCATTGTAGCCGCAGGAGCGTTTTTAAAGTCGCAGTGTGAGGAGTTCTCTTCCACTGAGATAAAGGCGCTTCAGCACCGCTGCATCAAGTATGTTGCGCTTGAGATTGGTTGTGTTAAAAATTAATAGCATTAAAGTCTGTATCTCATTTACTTTTTGCGGCTGGAAACTTTGCATTCAACCTACGTATAAGAAGTAAGGCTGTTAAGGGGATGGTGGCATTATGACAGCTTTTTGAGCTCTGGAAGTTCCAAGCGCATGATAAAGGATGCAACCGATAGTGAAAGTTTGGCGAAGGTTGGTAGTGATGTCTAGAGATTTACAACCAACATGATATGGGAAACACAATCTAAGATAGTCAGTTGACTCTGCACAGGACTTCAGACTTCCATCATGGGACTCAGAAACAAGACAAGTTGTGATGAAGTTTGCGACAACGAGGAAGGTAAATAGGGAATTGACTAATACTGACAAACACCGCTTGCACGTCATCAATACACGTTAGCTGAGGGTGCGGAACACACCTCGGCTAATGTGCCGCAATACAAAAATGATTTCACATCAAACAAAGTATACTTAAAGGCTATAGACAGAAACATAATGTTAAAATCACGTCTGTGATCATCGTTAGAGGGGATGCTAAAGGGAAGAAAAGGGACAGAGAGAAGCACAACACAAGCGCTACTGAGGTCGACTCTTCGCTCTGTCAACTAGTGTATCCAACCAAACGTCTTCATCCTCCTCCGATTCCCAGCCAGATAGCGGGATGCGCCAGCCGACGCCAGCGTCGAAAAGGAGGGACATCATTCCTCTTGATCAAACCATCGCTTTGCATCGTTTCCTCCTCTTCCATTAAGGCACCGGTCGCACAGACAACGCAAGACACGGGGTCGATGCGCTGGTGTGTGCAATATGTAGTGGTGTCCGGGGTGCCAGAGAGGAGGAGCATCTCTGGTAGGGGACCTGCCTTACCTGCCGGGGTAGCCCTTCTATCTTTGGTCCCCACCTGTCACCCAGCTCTCACCTGTGGCTCCAAGAAGCTGCTTGCACGCGGTAGCAGCCACACCCCGGTCAACCGCCAGGCAGGAGGACTAAACCAGGTGAGGGTAGCCGGGAATACTATTCCCGGTGTCTTAGTACTCTCGTGCAACGTCAGTCCTGACAACTGGGCGGAAGAGATCGACCCTTGATCCAACGGCCAGAAGTTAAGACGATTTCCCAGATCCCTGCTGCCTTGCAGGTAGCACTTGGCAGTGCAAAGCCTACAGGTGAACGCTCGAACAAAAGCCAGATGGGTTAGAGTCCTCATACGTACCCATAATCCCCACAAAACTTCATGACATGTCCGTTACCCGCGATTCTTCTCATGCTACGGCGTTCCCGGTAGGCGATGCGCTTTGCACTAACCCAGTGGCCAGAGTGACAAGTAAGCTAGCTGGGTCCCTCTGGCATTGGATGCTGAAATGTCAGAACATTGTTGGATGTCTGCAGCCAAGCGTTAACGATGCGCACACTACATGACTACCAGACTGACATAGCATGCCTATCAGAATCTCGAATACTAGGCTATGGCTCTTGACAAATCAAAGTCCCTGGTGTAGACATCACATACTGGCTCTACCACACTGGGCCGGTGGATACTTCTGGCAATAAAGTGGTTACCAGAGCTCTCAGTTGCCAGGCATACTACGCTCTCGTTTCATGGAAGCCAGTATCAGCTAGAATAGCAGGTGTATGCATTAAAGATCATCCGATGAACCTGACCATAAGCTCTGTCTACGCGCCAACCCTGCCCTAAGCGGAAAGGGAAAAAGACAAATTTTACGACACTTTACAGACAATGGTGAACCATGTTCCAAAACGCGACATCCTCATACTTGCTGGGGACTGCAATGCACGAACCGGTGCAAGAAACAATCAATCTCGTCACGTACTTGGGAGACATGTCCTTGGAGAGCGCTGGGATAATGGAGACCGCTTGTGCAGCTTCGCTGACCTTCGCCGGTTGTGTGTAACCAATACTCGCTTCCAGCACCCCAGAAAGCAGCTTCTGACGTGGTACTCCAACGATGGTCGTACAGCAAGCCAGCCAGATTACATCTTAATCCGATCCAGGTGGATGTCCTCCATCGATGACTGTCGAGCGTACAGAGGGGCTGAAACAGGCAATAAAGATGGTTGGGACCACGTACTCCTGCCCGCCAAATTCAGCTTCCGCTTGACAATACGCCGAAAGACCATTCCACAAAAGCCTAGCAACACTACGTCACTGGAAAATACTGACTGCCGCCAATCCCTTGAGGCAGCAATAGAAGCAGAAATCGCTGCCAGTGCACCACCCCTCGTAATTGCAGTAGCTGAATCTGTAGACGCGCAGTGGTCTAGGCTAAAATTGTCAGTTCAGCGCACCGGCTTATCTACCCTGGGCTCTACCTCTGAGTCCGTGAAGGACTGGATCACTGAAGATACCATACGCTTGTCCGCTAAAGCGACAAAAGGACGTGTCACGAATTCCCCAGACTACTGTCACTTGAGATGGGAGACAAACCGCTTAGCACGGAATGATCGCAACCGCTACTGGTCTATTATCGCAGGCAACATGGAAGCTGCATCAAATTCTGGCAATTTGGGTCATCCCTTTCGTCTCGTCCGTTTAGCTTCCGGCAAGCGCAATTCACCACAGCTGATATTGCGCAATTCGGAAGGCCAAATCATCCCCGATACGGAAGGAAGACTTTCCAAATGGGTAGAGTACTACAGCAACCTCTTAAACCGCCAACTACACACCACCGCA